ATCGTAGTTTTTTTTATGGCTAATTTATCAAATTCATCATACTCGTTAAAGCATTAAATGATTCGCTTAACCTCTGACGTAATGATCAGCTCTTCTAATTTGACATCTACTTGTTTCTTCATTAAATCTAACTTTTACCAATAATGATGCACTTCAAATAAAGAAATTGGACTTACTATCCTTATGTGCTCTACATTCTCAGAAGCATAAGTAATTCATGAATACATTTAATAATACAACCATAACATTGCTTGTTAATCCTAACCTGATTTGTTTGTTTTGCCTCTATGAGTATTATGTTAAGTGCACTCCTAGAAACCAAACTTCGTAACTTTTTAAACAAAGAAGACTTGTAAGTATGCTTAATAACTATAACATTTCTCTCAAACAAAGCCTTTATCTTTGTATGTTGTAGCTCAATAAGGCTGTTAATTATAGTCTATAATAATTTAAAATCTCTTTAAGATGATCCATGGTGTTTCTTAAATTTTGAAAGTGCATTCTCGACCCTAAATGAATTAATAAATGTATATTAGAACGATGGTCTTGTTATGAATTATGTAAATCTAAATAATCTTAATAAAAAACTATACAAAATCATACTTATTAGTTCTAAAATTTTCAAAGTGTATTATTTTATCTATCCAAACAACAATAAATCTCTACTTATGTTTTGTCAACTATTCTTGTTTGACATACTTAATTACATTTAGATAAGTTTGGTAATCAATCTCTAGTGAATTTAGAAGTTTTTTATACTCATCATGGATATAAGAGAACATAAAGATACTTCAACTTGACATGAATGCCTCTCTTTTTTCTTTTTGTTCAAAAAATTTCTTACAGTTCATAAGCACATTTTTTAAGATATGAAATTTAAATAGAAGATTTATTGTGCTTGAAAACATAGTATGTATTGCATTCATCAATTTTAAATCTCTGTAAGTAAAAATGACATTAAAAAATGTACCAAAAAGTAGCAAACCTTTTAACTTCAACAATGCTCAACTATAATTGTCCTAACTTTCGGCCTTCATATACATAAATGCAACAGAAAATGTTATTTCATTAGAAGTCACATCGATAATCTCTAGCTAAATGAGATGGTATCTTTTTGTTTATAGGTCAATCTATAATCAGGATACTTGGAAAGACATGAAACAAATCTATACTAGTAAGGTGAGCCTAAAACAAGTCTCTCACATAGTCATTTGACTTGTTAGTCTTATGCTACTTCATACATTTACAATCAGACAACTTTTTCATGAGTTATTGCATTTGTGATCTACCAGATTTTTCAACATATTTGTGTATTTGACGTTCATTGTATTTGGCCTTTATAATGCTAACATTCTTCCTATCATGTTGTTTTATAGCCAATAGTATGTTTTTGTGTCTGATCATACTATTTGATAAATCAACCACTATTATATTTTTTTTGTTAGATAATCGACCTACAAATGAATATCCCTTTAATTATTTTGCTTGTAGATGATTGTAAAATCCACATACTACCTTCACTCCCCCACTCATCATCGCTTGCCAATTTAAACCCATATAACTGAAATGGGCAATCTCACTTAATTGTTTCTGTGCCCTTATGCTGCATTTCTTCTATATTTGACTTATTCTTTTATTGCCATTTTTCACCACGTTCACATGTAAATCTGATTTTAATTTTTTTACCTAGACCTCATAAATCAAAGTTTTTAATCATTACCACAAAGCCAATATCTTTTCCCACCTATCTTGCCCAAGAAATCAATGTTTTCTTACTACAAAATAACTGCACAATAGTTTGAATTGTCACATTTTGCATCTACATAAACTAATATTAAATCACAAATCTTTATGCCTCACAGAGTTTACTTCACAACCATAATCTTACCTCTTCAATAATAAATGAAGAACTGTAATCGTAGTTGTTATTTCAATTCACTGGTTTATTCCACTATATCTGTGCATTTTGAAAATTGTTCTGCATGTTAATCAAACAAAATCAAAATTTTGGAAAAAAATTACTTCAAAAAATGTATTTCTAGATCATTGCATTGTTTTTCAGAAATGCCTTTCTGGTAGATTGAGAAAGTTTTTGGAAATGAATTTTTGGTAACTTTTCTTTACTTCTGAAAATCAATTTTTGGTAAATAGCTTGCTTTTTCAAAAATGAATTTCTAGTACATATTTAGCATTTTTTGAAATGTATGTCTGGCTACATTCACATTCTTTTGAAAATTCATTTTTGATAAAATCTATCTAGAAACATAATGATAATTTTGTAAATCAATTTTTGAAAACTTAATATATTTTTTGAAAAAGTATTTTCAAGAAATTCAAAATTTTGAATTTTAAGATAAAATCAACTTGCTCAATCGTCATCCCCTAATCTTCATTATTGCAGTTGTTTTCCATTTTGATAGTATATAAGATATTAAAAATTTTTGTTATGAATTTTAACAACAATCTTGTTGTTTGTTAGGAAGAAGAAGAAGAAGAAAAGAAAAAAGTTGTGCTGGAGAGAAAGAGATAAAGAGAAAAAAAAAAGAAGGGGTGCATGAAGGAAAAAATGTAATTAATTAACATATATTTAAATAATTTTATTAAAAGTTAAATTAGGAATATAATTTTTGAAGTACATTAAAAAAAGTTGGGTACAAATAATATCACTCTAAAAGAAGTTAAACAGGAGAGTTAGTTACAGGCCATGATTATGTCCCAATAAGTCTTCCATATTGGGATGTTAAGGCTTTTCACAAATACCAAAAATGCTGATCACAAAAGCCATTGAAGTTAAGCACATCGTAGGGGTTTGTGATAAGGTCCTATAGTTTGGTTCCACTAATGTTTTGAGTTTGGATCCAAAATTAAAAAGTTGAAACAAGAATTAGATGATATGCTTAAAGGAGAATAAAATAGCCTTTCACATGGAAATGTGGTTCTAAGGTAGATAATTGTGGCATGAAACCTTTTACAAGGGATGTGAGAACCAAGTTCAAAGGTTTAGGTGACATATAGCTATGATCCAAAAATTGGTAATTCAAGTTTTATTTATTAGTTTATTTTATTTTATTTTTATATATATTTGAATGGTCAAATTAAGAAAGACCTAAAATATATGGGTTAGCAAAAAAAATAGTAAATTTAATTTTTTTGTATAACTATTTTTATTTGTATCATGTGATTTTAGCATGAATGGTTGATTTTTAAAGAAATTTTTAGATGAGAATTTTTTATTTTTTAAATTTGGACTATTATAATAAATATTTTAGATAAAAATTTCAATAACAATAATGGATATTTATTTCCAATTAAAAAATTAAAATTTAATTGTTATAAATTTTTGAGAATAAATGAAAATTATCTAATGATGAAATTCTAAGAAAATCATTAATGGTTGATTTTCTAAGAAATTTTTAGACGAGAAATTATTTTTTTTCTAAATTTAGCCAAAATAATGAAAATTTTAGATAAAATTTTCAATAATAATTAACATTTATTTTTAAGAAAAAAATAATAAAAATAACATATATTCTTTATAAATTTTTTAGAATAAATTAAATGTTAATTATTCTAATGATAAAAATCTAAAAAAGTATTATTGGTTGGTTTTTTAGAAATTTTTAGGTGAGAAGTTTATTTCTAAATTTTGTTAGATTGATGAAAATTTTAGATGAAAATTTCAACGACAATAATAGATTTGATAATTTAAAATACGACACGATAACACGATATGAAAATAATATAATTGAGAGATACGATGGTGATACAATTTCAAATTTTAGCAAACATCATGGTTAACAAAATAGAGAATATATTTTATATTTTTGTATCGACACAAATTATGACACATAACTTTTAGATGAAAATTTCAATGACAATAGTAGACTTGATAATTTAAAACACTACACGATAACATGACACAAAAATAATACAATTGAGAGATACGAAGGTGATACAATTTAAAATTTTAGCAAACATAGTGGTAAACAAAATAAAAAAATATATTTTATATTTTTGTATCGACATAAATTATGACACATAATTTTATATAAAACATAATATAAATACACTAATTATTAATATTTTATACAATATGAATATACAAAGTTCTAAATCTAACAATAGTTAACATTTATTTTCAAGAAAAAAATAAAAACTTTAGAAGTAATAAGAATTCAAAAATTAAAAATAATAATCCTTCTCCATAAAATATTAAATCAATAAAGAGATTCTTCAAAATAATGATTAAAACTCTTAAATACTCTTTAAATAAGAAAATTTTTAAAAAATTTTACAAGGTTTATGAAAAAAACTTTAAAATTTTTTTTAATATTTAAATGATAGAATTTAAACTAAGAAAAAAAAAACAATTTAACTAAGATAATTCTTAGATATTCTAAAATTAATTGATCCAATCTTTAAATGGCATTGTGGAATAACTTTTCAATTTAATTTTGAGAAATGATACTATATATAAAAAAAAAGTCTTGTGCTAGTGATTATTAATTCATTGAAAAAAAGGAGGAGGATATTGGCAATTGAAAAATGAATTTGAATAAAGAGAATTGTTTTTTGTTAAAAAAAAAAAATAGATGAATTTTTTTTACGAAAATTTTTTAAAAAATTGTTGATAAGATTTTGGTCTGTGTCTCAGGCAAGAGTGGAGTTGCGATGCAAGAAAGTAGCATTGCTCTTCTAGAATGAGATAAAAATAAAGAAACGGATGTAGTTGCACGAATTGAAGGAAAAAATTGGTGATGTGAAATGCAATACTGATGTGGAGTCTAATTGAGTAAAAGTACGTTTATCTGGGAATAAAGATATTAAGATTAGAGAATAACTTTATTCAAGAAAAATGCTTGATTTGAGAAATAAAATTAAAATCATCCTATTTTGGGATAAAAATTTTAAAATACTTTGATTGGATAAAAAAAAATCCAAAATTTATAAATAAAAATAAAATAAAAATACGGGACAACATATATTAGTTAAATAAAAAAATTGTATTCGATTGGGTTAAAACTTCAAACTCTATTAGTTACAACATCTGATTTTTGTAATATATAACCATAACAAATATACTAAGACAGATCAGATCCGTCCTGAATCAAATACTATCATTGCTTGGTGGGGGGCTTTTTGGCTTCCATCCTCCGGTCGCGTCTTGCTGCTTTTCTTTCTTCCCAGACTTGTCTTCCTCTCTCTAATCAAAGTCTACTTTTTCTACTTTCGTAATTAACAAATTGATATTTAAGTATTTTTAGTTGAGGGACTTGAGAGAATTCCATAGTTCAGTTGAAAGTTGACAGAGACACAGAGAAAGCCTTAATCATGGAACCCTAAAAGGCTTTTTCCCTTGCTCTTCATCTGCAAAAGGACGAGAAATTCGGGGAAAATCAATTTCAATTGCAGTCAAACTGAAGAGGAATAACGCAGAGAGCTTCTTCGCAGATATTATCATGTGGACAAATGTTTTTAGAATCGTATGCCGCTTCAACTTTTAATTTCTACTTTTTCTTTTTAATTTCCTTTCTTTCTTTTCTTTTCTTTTTTTTTGGATCGAACTAGGGTTTTTGTTAGTGTTATTTAATTTAATAATTCTGTTATTGTTCAAAATGCGTTCTATATTATAATTTAATTTAATTGTTACAGAAACTAGGGAACATTTTCTTTTCGGAATTTTTATGTCCGAGGATGCCTTATCTATTTTAGAATGTTTGCATTAGATTCTAGGGATTAGACCTTCTACGTTCCGTTTCCTCGCTATGTCTTTGGTCTTTGGATCCTCACATAACAACTTATGCTTTTGGTTTGAGTGGTTCTTGACAAGGTATCAAAGCCAACGTGGCTTCTTACCCGTTTTTATGTTGTTTATTGCCTAAGAACAAAGATGAGTGTTCTTGTTCACAATTGGTTAAGTTTAGAGTTTCTTGTCTCTTGTTTTAAAATTACGGCTTTCTTTCTATTTCCAATTGGTTTTAAATTGGGTGTTTAACATGGTTTCAGAGCCTCTTTGACAATCTAGTCCATGGATTGAATTTTGACTAACCTTACACTGCTAAAGTATTAAATTTTAGCTAACTTATTTGTGGATCTATACTTTGGTCATGCTTTGTCCAGTGGGCTTGAACATGCTTGTTGGTGAAAACTATATTTGTACCCTCACATAAAATCTTAAGCTTTTTGGGTTGAGCAGTTCTTGATGGAATGCTTCCTCTCTGTGGTGCATACAAACAAACTAAACAGTACAGGCATTTGATCTCACAATTTTTATTTTATTTTATTTGTTTTATATTTTGCACTGAAAATGCTGTGCAAATTTTTTGAAGCGAATAAGGACCCATCCCCTAATTATAGAATTACATACTTCATTTAACATGGGTGGATTGTCAGGCCTATGTTGCCTGTCTTTTTAAGCATTTGTATCAAGCTGCAGTAAATTTTTTTGTCTCCAATTTTTTTTTTTTGAATTTTAGTACCCATAAAATTAAAATATTTTTATAACATGGACCATTTCTACAGGGAGGTCTCAGTCAAATATCATGGTTCCAGTTTCTCCCTTTTGAATCTGAATTAAACTCTCTCCCTGACAAAAGGTTAGTATCCACAGCATCTTTTTCTTCATATCTTTCTACAGTCTGCTTGGAGCTTTTAAGAAGTAAATTATCAGAGTTACGGAAAGTAAATAATCATAAATTTATAATCTGGTTTTGAGGCTGCACAGCATAAAAGTAGAGCAGAAAGATGCTGCTACGTTGCTAGTTCTCTCAGCCCACCTGCAGCTGCAGAAGGAGGGATGCCTTAGTACATGGACAAATTCCTTTGTTGGGCCTTGGGATCCATCTCAAGGTCTGCATAATCCAGGTTAGTGTCCAAACTTTTGTCATTGACAATTAACTTTCTGTGGTTTAACTTTGAAAGAAAGAGATACCAAACTCTAATATGCTACATCTAATGGTCTTTTATGGTGCTTTGTAGATGAGAAAATTAAGCTCTGGCTTTTCATCCCTGGACGTCATGTATCTGTTCTGGAGTCTGCTCAATCTGCAGTGTCCAGGTTAAGAGGTATCACATATTCCTGAGTTTTCATCGTTGACTCTGTTCTTTTCTTTTGGTACATGTGTGTCTGCATGCTTGCACGCTTAGTTCCTTACTTGTCTACACGGACTTTGTAGATTAGAGTGCAGTCTTCTTTCTGTTCTAAGTTTCCTTTTGTTACCCACATAGCACTTATGCTGTATTACTGTGTGAATTGCACCATTTTATTCTAATTTATTTATTTATTTATTTTTTTAAAGTTGTTGCATCTGGACTTTGGTTGGCTCCTGGTGACTCAGAAGAGGTTGCTGCTGCCCTTTCTCTGGCTTTAAGGAATCGCATAGAAAGGTTTCTTTTCATCCATTTCCTAGACCATAAGCAGTACATCATCTTGGATATGTCTTGACATCGGTATACTAACTTTACAGGGCACTTCTAGGACTCTCCTACATGAGATTTGGTGATGTATTTTCAAAGTATCATCCTCCACAAATTGAAGAATCTTTCAGGTTTGTTTATATTTATTGTCGATTGATAGTAGTTTAATTTGTACAAGTAGGTATTGGTGGCTGAAAAGACCATGGTTACTGCAATTAGATTAGCATATGATAAAGAAATTATTTAATGATTATCTATGTTTAAACTTGCTATGCTGCTGTCAATATCATTATTGTCAAGATAAGAATCTATTGCAATTTGAAATGTTTAATTTCAATTTAAAGCATTCTTTCTTAATGATCCATCTTTGTCAGTGATATTCACTTTCATCTGTTTTTGTTAAAGCAAATATACAAAAACCGAAATGATTTCTATGATGTTTTGTATGTTATCCTATGTGCTTTATTGTGTTGCTTGTGAAGGCTAGGTTTCATGCATACTTGTTTGTGTTCTGGTTGCTACTAATTGCTCGATTCATGCTTTTCACAACATATGGTGAATGCATTGCTGTGTCACCGAGTTACTCTAGATGATTGTACTCTTTTGGTTGCATTCTTAAGACTTGAGTCAAAATTTATATTTTTGGAAAGATTTCCTCTTGGACTGTGACAGCCTTTATTTTCTGTTTGGCATTTATTCTCATTTTGAAAGAAATATAGATGGTGAATTTATGGAATCATAACCACTCTTCTACTATTATACCTTTTTGGTAGGGAAAATTTTCTTTTGATAAGTTGCAGGCCTATTGTTTGGAAAAAATGGTGCTAAAATTTGAATACAAAATGTTGGGCGGATGATCCCTTACATATAAAAGGATCTCTTGGGACCTTGAATAGAAGTCCTTACTTGGAAAGATTGCTGATAGAGATTTTTGACTTCATGGATTAACACAATTCTGAGGAGTTTGGTTTGTGACTCTATTTGATAAAAAAGTCCAATATGGTCCTTGTTGTTTTCTTGAAATTATCTAGTTTATTCAATCTTTCTTTTGTTTGATCCTTGAAATATTGTTATCCATTAATCTATGCACTAGTCCTTTGCCCATCCGCTAAATGGGTGAAAAAATAAAAAAATAAAAAAATAACTTTGAAGGAGATGAAATGTTATAGTTTCAAGTGTTGTGTTATCTTAATTTGTAAGTGGGAGAAAAAGTAGGAACACTAAGGCTTTGTTTTGTTGGTGCTTTTGCTATTTTCTTTGGAAGCAAAGAGTAAAAGCAAAGAGTAAAAAGCGAGTTAAAATACAAAAGCAAATAAAATTTTTGAAGGATCATACACAAAATATGTAAATTGTTTTAGACAAAATGCATGAGTCTACTTTAATATTGACCAATTATTTTATAATTGGTGTCACACTTGAGTTGTTTATACATTTAAAATCAATTATGATATTGCTTTTATCTTTAGCTTTTGCTTTATAGAAATTTTTCAAAAAGCTAAAACCTAATAGCAAAAAACAAGTATAAAAAACATCAAGCTCAATGGAGCCTAAATGTATAGTTAATTTAGAAGAGAGAAAAAATAGATCAAGGGGAAGTTTACATGAAGTTTAAAAAGATGGAGGAATCATGTCCTAATTTATATGAAAGCAAAATGATATATTTATTCTTATTTTAATAGATAATTTTTTTTTGCTTAAAATTGGTTTTTATGAATGGGAATGCACATGTTTAGGTGATATTTATAGAAAGAATTTCGTAATCAATGTATTGTCTCTTCTTGAATTTGGTGAGAATAGTGCTTTAAATGGAAGATGATTTTCTAAAATATTTAACTAATCTTAATTAGTTCCTATAAGCACCGGTAATTGGAGTTGTTATCTCTTAACTTGTGTCACTAAACTTAACTATTGGTATTATATATTGTAGAACTTATAGTTGCCTTCATTTTGGGTGATTATTAACCTTTACTACTTTGTTTACAGTAATTTTTGGAAAATTACACAAACTGTCTCCAAATTTTAAGTCTTTTAAATCTCCCAGAACTTGCAATTTGAACAACCATATGACCCAAAATTTGATTGCAAACAATCAAGCCCTTTGGTAAGTGTGCTATTACCCACATCAGATACCGCATCAATATTTGAATGGTTATTTTTGGCTATTTTCTTTTATTAATAAAGCTTTGTTTATTAAGGCTATTGTTAAAATGACCCTATAAGTTGCCATATTAGATACCATGTCTTCCATGGATCAAAATTTAAATGGTTTTTTTCGGCCATGTCTTTTTTGGTAAAAAGTTAATTTTTTTTATTATTTTTCCTTGTCATTGCGAGAGACTTCTTTGATCTCTCTCACTCTACCTTTCTTATGAAATTGACAACCTCACTCTATTTATTATCTTCCTTTTTGTCATTACATCAATCGCAATAGTGTATCAAGTTCATTTTGTTCCTAACCTTCTTTCTTTTTCCGTCTTTTACTCTTTCTCCTTTCATTTCTCTCGACCCTCTCTTTGCATCTATTTCTTTCCTTCTATTACATCTACAAACTCCTAACCAAGATTGCTGCCAGCTATTGGGTGAATTCATGGCCTTCAATCATCAAATGGATTTTGTTCCTGGAAAGTGTCAAAGAGTTTCTTGAGCTACCCTTGGAAAAAGGAAAATAAAAGCTTTTAACACCAATAAGGAACGTGAGGCTGCTACACCAATGACCTATTCTTGTGTTGGGTGATAATGGTTCGATTCGGTTATTTCTGTTAATGTATAGTGTTATGAATTTTTAAAAACTAATCCAAATCTGAATCGGATTTCTTTTGAAACTGATTTGATTTGAACCAAATTTTATCGGTTCAGTTCATTGGATTTTAAAATTTAAATTTTTTAAAAAAATTTTGATATTATTTTAATATAATTTTTAATATATTTAAATAGATTTAGATATAAAATAATTACTTTTATTTTATAAAATTTAATATATATATATATAAATTAATAAAAATATATACTTTGGTTTGGTTAAGATATTTTTTGTTTTTTTACTTTCTGATCGGAAATCTAATCCAAACCAAATAGAAAGATTTAAAATCCGAACTTAAACTGAAATGAATAAGAGAAAAATTGATCTGAACCAAACTAAACACTATGGTTTCATGGCAGTTTTCTTGATTTTTTCCTCACCCCTTGATGGCAAAGTGGTTTCTTCATGAGAGTTGATGGTCCTTCTTTTCTTGTGGAGTCTCATTGTAGCCTTGTCTTAGTATTGACTGCCTTGGTGGCCATGGCATCTTCATAGCCTCTGGTGTTTACTCCACCTCTACCACAACCTAGAATGCTTCCTTTTCCTGGGGATACTCTTTCCTATGCACCACCAAGCTTAGGAATGCTGTCGCCACCAATGAGAGGAAGAGGAAGCGGGCTCAACTGATATAAAAACCAAGAGAGGAAGAGGGTCTTCAAAGAGATGAACAGAGTAAAGTGAAAGAGAAATAAAATAAAACAAAGAAAAACGGAGATGAAATATAAAAAGATAAAGTAGGGTTATTCTATTGTTGAGCATGCTTTTGCATTTCCAACGCAAATTATAGTGTAGGTAGATGGGACCTGCATTTAAGTGTGACAAAAATTGCAATTTTCTTTGAAGAAGCCAAATTTGGCTTGGAATAGGTCACCAATTATGTGGCATTACAAATCCACTAAAATTTTGACATGTGTATTTATGTGGTGTGGTGATGATGTGGAAAAATCTCATATGACTTGGCATTTTTCTTGGTAGCTTATGTGGCTATTTTAGTACCTCTCTCAGCAGCCTTGTGATGGAAGGATTTAATTGTTAGCAATTGAAAATGTGTGGTGATGATGTGGAAAAATCTCATATGACTTGGCATTTGTTCAAATTGAAACTTTTGAGAGATTTTGGTTAAAGGGCTTAAAGTTTAAGGATGATTTGTATAATTTTCATGTATTCTAGTTTATACGAACTTTTTTTTTTTTTGGTTGAGTCCTTGAACTGTTGCCATAATCATTGAGGCTATATGGCATTCTGATTGGAGTTGCATTGATTACAATCACTGAATTTGGACAAAACACAATGGCAAAGAAGGGTAAATTTACGGTAAAAATTCCTGATGGCTTTTACTCTCAGTAGCGGAAGCAAGTTGATGCTTTTGCAATTGCATTGATTTTGCCTTCAGTTGCAGCATTTTTGCACTACAGTTTTCAATATCAATCACAATGTCAAACTAGGCCTTAATCTTTGTATTAATGTTAGCCTCTTTTTCTTATAATTTTTTAAACTTTTCTTACAGTGTACTTCTGTGCCTCATTAGGAGTGTTATATGTCAAGTCTGCTCTGTTTTGATTCTTGAATTAATTTGTTTGTTTGGAATGTTGATATGTGGGTATCCATCTCAAATGCTTGCTGGGAGAATTTTCAGAGACACAGTAGGGGGAACTACTTAATCACTGTCACCATGCAATTGGATGTTTCTTTTCGTTGTTCTTTCTTGTCCGATCACCTTCCTTCAATATATGTTATTGACCTTCTACTCCTTTTCTTTTCCTCTCCTTTTTGTCCTCTCTTCAACCCCTTTGTTGCCTCCATTGCCAGGATTAAAAAAAAAAAAAAGAAAATAGAGATAAAAGCAATGGAAAAGCTGCAAAATTTTGTATAATAACCTATGTAGCTAGTTGTATTTTGCTTCTGGCTATTTTCCCCTTTTGGAATAATACTTTATTGTTGTTTTGCAGGAGAGCACAGCCTACAATTGAGTTCATCTTTGCTGCTACGGAAGAAGCACTTTTTGTACATGCTATAATATCGTCAAAGTACGTGAAGCTTCACATCTTAGTTTTCTAGCAGTTTGCATTTGGGTTGCTTTATGATTTTTCCCTCTAATATGCTAACTTTGATACCTATTTTAATTCTATTTTCAGGCATATCCGGGTGCTTTCAACTGGTGATATAGAACAAGTGTTAGATCATTCTTCTAATAATTCCAATTACGTGCTTCCTGGTTTGTCTAGTTGCCCTTTGGGATTCTAGTTCTTCAAAATGATTTTGAAGAGGTTTCTGCTTGTGTTTTTGTGTGTGTGTGTGTGTGTGTGAGAGGGAGAGAGAGAGAGAGAGAGAGAGAGAGAGAGAGAGAGAGAGATGGTCATGTTGAGGGTAAATGTATTATCAAGCCAATAAACTGACATTACTGTCTTGTATAATCTGTCAAGTTTCCTGCTTTTTAGAATTCTAGGTTATTTATTACATCAAACTGATTATAAATGGCAGTTATGCAACCTTTGCTGCATCAACAAGCTTTGTAATTGTGTTTTACTTTAATGTTTGGCTGCAGTAATAATTTCCCCACATGGAATGTGTGGTAGGCTCACAGGAAGTTGTCCAAATGATCTTGTCAAGCAAGTATACTTCAGGTGGACTTTGTTTGCAATCTGTTAATTTGTATTTTTGCACTGTTCCCTTCTTCTTTTGTTTATATGCTACTAACTCATTCCCCATGGTGATAGTGCTTGGATTAATATTTTCTTTCTGCTGTTAAATTTCTTCTTTTTCAGCAGCTCTGGAAAAATTAGGAACTCTAATGCTTTTATCGGTCTACCATTTCATACTTCCCAAAGTTCTGGTTGCCAATTGAGGGCCCACAACTGCTATGTTAAAGTTTGTCTTGGTTGCTCTAAATCTGGAAGTGACAAGGCATTAAATCGAAACTCCAATTTTATCAGGAATTTACCCAAGCATCATTCTACTGAAGCTTCTGTAGCGGGAAGAGGTGATCAGAAGGGATCACTAGATCTCTTATCAGTACATGAGAAAACATTTATCTGTCCATCTGAGGCTGTACTTGTCCCAGTCTTGCAAACATCCTTTGCTAGATCCTCTATGAGAAGGTGTGTTTGAATTCTGTGGTAATTTTATTCGTGCCAATGTTTATTTGTATGCATTGATCTGGATTATAAACTTGCAAGGCCAATTTGTTCAAGTTGGTGGTATCTAGTGATTTTGTTAAATATAAAGCAGCATTCTTTAAGAAATTTCTAGTGTTCGATGGTTAAGGATCTTTTTAAAGATGGACTAATGAAAATGACTATACTACTTCCTTGCCCTCTTATGTTAACTTCCTTTTCCTCTCTCCAAAACTTATTTGTGTGACACATTTGCCAAAGCATATACCTGTTTTGTTTAGGTAAGCAACCTAGTTGATTGATCTTTGGTATTGGTAATTGTTAATGATACTCTTCTAGTTCTAGGTCCATGCTAAGATTTTGCTTGGTCTTTAGCTAGTTGTAGCTCCTTTTACTGCTTTATCTTCTGAGTCAGTATATGTTAACTTGCAGATTTTGGTTGCAAAATTGGATAGGACCTTCATTGGCTGGTTCATCTTTTTTTAGGCATTGGTTAGTTCTCTCCCTCTCTCTCCCTCTCTGTCCCTCTTTCTTCCCACTCTCTTGTTCTTTTTTTTGTTTATCAACTTTCATGGATTGCCTTGTGGTATTCATTTAAGTATTTAACCATAAGAACTGCATACCAATGAATTCACAACCAAAGCAAATGAGCCTTGTAAACAACCCATGGAATGGCTGTTCTAAATAAAGAAATTAATAGACGCACAAAAGTTCCTTGATACCTGCTCTATTCAAATTCAATATCAATTTTGAGACAAATGAAGGTAAGCCACAAACATAATAGCACAATTGAACAAATATAAGAAACAACCAGCAGCTTCCTATTTTGTGTGGCAACATTAGAATCTGGGTGCCTCTATTTTAATGTTGGCTGCTTCCAGGAATATGTCAGTTATAACATGGATAAGCGGGCGGGACTCATGCTGTAAATTTCACTTGTTTTAGTGGGAGAAGGAACATATGCATGGAAGTAGGGCTACCTGGCAATCATGAGTGATCTATTTTTCACTTTATACCACACAATTGAAAAACAATTTTTTTTTTTTGTAAGTAACTGTTTTATGGATGCATAAGCTAGTTTAGCTATGAGAAAGAAAAATTCTCTGATTCATTTCCATTTTCCTTGCAATATGATAGATGAATGCAGTGGATGCTGCATTTTTTCCCTAAGGTCTACTTGAAGGGACTTGCTAGCACACCTATGTAAAATGCATTTGTAACAAAACATCCAGACCTGACTATTTTAGTGTTAAGGTGAATCATTATCCCGAATGAGTAATAATACGTGAACCACAGTTGATCTTGGTTGCAAGCAATTATGTAACTATTTTAACATCCAGAGTTAGTCCCCTGAATCCTCTTTCTCTTTTTTAACCTGTTATTAATTTTGCAGTGGTGGAAATATAGATTCCATAGAAAATTCGTGGGTTGAATTCAGTGGAGTACATACAAAGCATGGTTTCAACAGCAGCAGCAATAGTAATGATAGCAGCATAAGTTCCGTAAGTAGTAGTTCCAGTGAAAGTGTGACCACAGGAGCTCATGACCTGGAGGCAGATGCAGATTCTTCGTGTAGACAGTCTGGCTTATCTTCTAATGATCAGATGGAGACTGATTGCCTCAAACTGGTTTCTCTTTTATCTACTTTTTTTAGTTACTTTTTGTCTTAATTGTTTGTACTGTTGATGAATGCAGACACTTGTATCAATTTTGGATAGAAGGGTATCATGCATGCAACCATAAAATATCCACTGAAGATGCACGGTGTTTGCATGTTCTTGTGTTATTGTGTACTTTTTAAACTCAGTAAAAGAGAGGTCTGCAGAAACATGTAAATAGCCTATGTTTGTGCATTCAATTTTTAAACACAGGGTTGTATGCGGTTTATTTAAGTAGCTTGGTTTGGAATTGACTCTTTTATTTGTTTTGTCATATCATAAATGGTGTCTGATCAGTAAGGCTTGGCTTCGCAGGAAGGATAGAATGGGGTAAGGATGGAAAACTTGTTAATCCAATGGTTAAAATTCATAACCACTTTCCTACTTAATAGCTCAATCATTAGATTAACAAATTTTCCATCCTCACCTCTTTCCATCCTTCCTACCAAGCAAAGCCTAAAAATCATAACTCCTCTTCTCTGTCCATCATCTGGTTTCCAACTGGTAAGTTATCCATTTGGATGGAAAGTACTGCAATGTTCTTCAGAGTTGATTGTTACTATATAAAGCCCAAAAAGTAGGGTTTAGATTTTCTCCTCAATGGTAACATCTTCATCTATTTTTTACTGCTTGTATGGGGGACTGGAATGGGTTCCTTTCCTTGCATACTTTTGCATTTACTCCAAAAATGACAGACTTTTGTATTTCATTTGAATGTGAAACCATTTTGACTCTTTGAATTAAAAGTTAATAACATGTCCGTAGTTTCACTCTTTTAAAATTAATATAATATTGTGGGTTCACTGAAATTACTAGTTGAAATATCTGTGTAGGGTTCCAAGCGTCCTCGAATTGGGATTACAGAGTCATATGGTCAAGCAGTTATGAATGCTTCATCTCAAGATGCTTACAAGTCTAATATTGGTTCCATGGAAGTTAACAAGTCAGCAATTACTGGCATTGGAAATGATCAAATTGGATCCAATTGGGATTGGGATGATGATGACAGAGGAATTGTTATGGATATCCAATCTCTTCTCTCTGAATTCGGAGATTTTGGTGACTTCTTTGAAAATGATGTTCTGCCATTTGGGGAGGTAATTTCTCATCTTTCCATAGATTCTATCATAAAATACTGCATTTTCTTAAATGTTTATACTATTTTCGGCTTAAAGTCTCTTGGTATAGAGAAGGGAAGTTTTTAAATGCTGTATATTGTTTAGAATTCATATACATTTGTTGAGTAGTTTGGGTCAAGGCTTCAAGCAGTGCATGTCAACTGGATAGCATGAGAAGTTATTTTTTGAGTAAACTTTGTGAATGCATTTTTTTTTCTTAAACTACTGTTTCTTAGCTAAGTATTTGAAGTTATAGGTGTTGGCCTGCATTTAGTCTTGTCATTAACATCTTTTATCCTTGACATGATTAAGCTATAATTGATCTCATCATGGTCTTTCTTTTCTGAAGCCCCCAGGAACTGCAGAATCATCGGCTATTATGTTTGCTGTTCCAGATTGTGGAGATTTAGGAAGAAGTCCTGTTGGGGTAATTGATCAGATGCTTTTGCCTGAAGGTCTTCCTTCCTTTGATAGCTTTAATCAACCTCCTCCAGTTGCCACAGAAGAGTGGTTGAGCAAAAGTCAAGAGGTCACAAGCAGTGCTTTGTTGTCTGGTCCATCAAACCACACTCCAGTTTCTTCCACTGGTGAGTTTGATCATTTAATGAAAGCTGAAGCACTGATGACTTTTGCAGCAGAATATGGAGCAGTAGAAACTCCTGCAAGTGATTCCTCATCAATTTTCAGAAACCCATATCTTCCAAACTCTCGTAAAGTGGAGAGTTCTAATTCAAGCCCAAACAATTACATATATGCTGCAACACCACCCTCTTCTCCTTGCTTTGATGGATTGGATGAGAAGACTGGCGTGCCTATGAATCTGAAAGCCAAACCTGGAGGGCATGATTCAAATGCCATGCTCCAACTGAAGAAATATTACACTTATGTGGAGACCAGGAAAGAGAGATATGACAGGAGGCTGCTAACACATAATGATAGCAGTGCGACAAATGAGGTGTCAGGAACATCTCAGTTTGCTAATTTTAATTCAATCAATTCATTTAAGTCTGCAGACAGGAAAATGACACAAGGCATATTTGGCAGAGAGCATATCCTCCCATCTATGAAGACTGTGCTTGCAACTGAAGTGGAATGTGCTCTGTTCCAAGCTTCCATGTTAAGGATGCGACACTTACTTTTATCTCCCACTAGCCCTGCAACTATTAGCTTGAGTAGGCCTACAGCAACTTCCGTTTTAAACCAGCTTCCTAGTGACCCTAGTACCATGACAGACAATCTATCTAGCCGGTATGAGGTGAAGAAGAATGAATCTATACCTGCCAGAATTGCTGGTGATATTGATGGAGGAATGCTAGATGGGCACCTTAATGCTCCTGTTGGTGTATGGCGCACTGTTGGAGTTCCAAAAGTTTCAAAGCCTGCTTCTTCACCAAGTATTGAAGCTAGTCCATCCTTATCCCATAATTCGTTTAATGAGGAAAGTATGCTCTCTTATGGGCAAAGGCAACCGCTTCAGGAGCTTCTTGATGGCATTGTGTTACTCGTCCAACAAGCTACTTCCTTTGTTGATTTTGCGCTGGATGCTGATGGTGGCGATGGTCCTTACAGTTGGCTTGCATTACAAGAGCATTGGAGACGAGGCTTTTGTTGTGGGCCTTCCATGGTCCATGCAGGTTGTGGAGGGACTTTGGCTTCTTGCCATTCCCTGGACATTGCTGGTGTGGAGTTGGTAGATCCACTTTTTGCTAATGTGAGCTTTTCTTCATCATCCAGATTGCTAATTAGACTAATATCTATGGGTCCTATAACAATTAGGAGTGAATTCCTTGTGATATCATTAAGAGTTATCAAGTTAAATAATATTGAAATCTATTACTTTATACTGTCTGACCATTTTTGTGTGGATTTAATGGACCAGAAAACTTTAACATTTTATCATATAATGATCCTTATGTAAAGAATATTTTCTTTCAGATTCATGCTTCTTCCGTAATCAGTTTGCTGCACTCTGACATAAAATCAGCCTTAAAATCTGCATTTGGCAGTTTGGATGGTCCTTTGTCTGTCACTGACTGGTGCAAAGGCCGTGGTCAATCAGGTGATGTTGGAGTCTCTGCTGATGGATCATCTACAGAGTCCAATATAAGTGAATGCCGAGATTCTTCAAGTACTGTAACTCTCTCCGTGGGAGAAGCAATGAGTCCAACTCAAACTTCTGTTGGTGGATCATCTGTCCTAAAAGGTATGTTTACACGTTATTGCACTACATTTATGAGACTCTTGAAGAAATTGACACACCAAAAGGTTTCTCAATTGATGCACTGACTGGTGCAATAGATGGAGGTAAAGTTGATGAGACCAGCCAAAGGAGATTGAACCAAGAAACCTCTGGTTCTGAGTCAGAGCAACAGCAGTGCAGCCGGCTAAGACCAACGCTTTTTGTTCTCCCATCACCTGCAATACTTGTTGGGTAAGTGTTCTTCATTTGTTAGTGATATAACTTTCTCATTAAGACACTTCTCAATTTGTTTACTTAAGTCAATAGCAAATGGCCTAACAAAAATATTTGGATTTTCTCACAGCACCACACTTGTTGTCTATGCCTCAATTACTAACTAAAATAACTTTTACGAGACATTTGACAAAGCAAAGTACACATTTTGCTTTCCTTTTAAACCTAAGGGCTTAAGTAATTTGCGATGGCTCAAAAGTGTGTTTTGTTCTTTGATACATCACCCATGCAGGACTGCTCTTCGAATTATGTGGAATGTAGACATGGGGCCCTTTGATTAAACTGCGTCTGGTTTTTTTGGCTTTCTGCTTAAGATAATGAGGAATACCCCAAACGAATATTTGTTCCACAAAGACAGATGATAAATGTGATAAAAATTCATTTGCACGCTTGAACTATTCATATGAATGAGATTCACTTTTAGGGAGGCTCTTCATGACCTAGAATCTAAATCCCTTTGAAATGTTTTCTTGTGCAAAGAAATTCTCAACAATTATAGTTAGACCATTGAGTCTAAAAAGAGCATGATGATAAATGCTGTTACAAATTCATTGGCTTGAACTATTTCTATGAATGAGATTCAATTTTAAGGAGGCTCTTTATGCCCTAGAATGTATATTCTGTTTGAAACAGTTTCTCTTGCAAAGAAATTTGTGATAATCATAATCAGGCAATTAAGTTTAGATTATTTATTTTTATCATAGCTTTTTATGTTAGCAAATGTTAATCAACAATTCAAGCAGTCCTTTGCATTGCTAGTAGAATTGGAGGCTAAATCAGTCCTAGATGACTCTGAAAAGTTCTTCATATTTTAATTTCCAAAAGGTTGTATATATGTATATAATCTGATGGTATTAATCCATGGAGTCATGGTCTTCTCTCTCTCTGTCTCTCACCCCTACCCCCCGCCTCCCTAAATGAAAGAAACAATGTAATGACTACATGTTATTTAGACCATTAAAAGAAGGGTGGATTGTTGGATATTGGGGGTGAAAATTTCTCTTTGACTCCATGTTATCTGCACTTACTTTTAGTCTTGTATTCAAAGGTTGTGGGATACTTCATAGACAGGTGTTAACTTTACTATCTGGAGGTTGCACGAAACTTTATTTGTGAAACAGGAAAGAGAAAGTTAAGGAGTATTGAATATGGAAATCTTTAAGGATCCATTAAGTTGATACAATTAGGCTGCCGAAGGGGAATAAACAGTGTAGAAACGTGTTACAATAAGATATCAGTTAAGATTAGAGTATAACAGTTTAATTTTTTGAGATATATAACTTATTGCTTTACAATGTAAATTACATGCATAGCATAATATGGCTTGCAATTGGTAATTTGAACAGTTAATCGCATGTGAACAAAAATATATTGTGTAGAGGTAAGCCAAGTAGGCCATATTTCAATTAAATGAATTCACACATTAGTCAGTCTTTGCAGCTAGCTCTATAAGTTATGACATATGAACATGTAAATGCAAATGATGACTTTTCTTGTAGGTACCAGGATGATTGGCTTAGGACTTCGGCAAACTCTTTGCAGCTTTGGGAAAAGGCTCCTTTTGAGCCATATGCTCTACCAAAACCTGTAAGATTCAACACATGGCTTGCTGTAGCTAAAACGATGACTTTTTATTTCTCTGTTGATGTGATTTTAGAAATTGCTTTCTGTTGCTAATCTGAACGTTTGGCTCTAAAAAAAATTGCAGATAAATTATTCTGTTATATGCCCAGATATTGATCCCCTTACTTCTGCTGCTGCTGATTTTTTTCAACAACTAGGAACTGGTGAGTATGGGATTTTTATGCATTATTTATTTTCTTGAGTTTAGGATGTGTGGTAAGAAATGGAATGAGGGTTAAGGAAGTAGATGAAAATGTTGTTTTTTATAGAAATGAATGGTGCAATAAGATTCATAACTATGAGCTAACATGATTTTCTTTTTAGCCTTTCATATAGCCGACCCTAAAGTTATGGCATATAAGGTTTAGTTTGTTGTTGTTGTTAATTTATTTTCTTGAGTTTGAATTCTTTCAATTGAATATGCAGGTAGCTCAATAATTCAATTTAGCTTGAGTATTGTACTTTGGTATGCGCCTAGAGTGAAAGAAAGTTTATATGTTTCTTTCAGTATGGATTTGTCAACCTGACAGGGACTATGTAGGGAAGCATAACCCGCATAATTCTCGATTGTAAAAAATGAGTGGTTTTGGAGTTGTGCTGATCTGTTAACCAGAAGAGTGTCAATTTGATATGTCGGATATTTTGATCCTTTTGTCTTTAAGGGAGTTGATAACAGGAAAGCCCAAAGGCTGTCTGTTCCCATCCCTGTCAGGGGAGATGCCAACCATCTCTCCTTTTTATGAACACATCTTTAAGGGAGTTGAATCTTCTGAGCCCTGTCCTTGATCTCAATAGAATTATCTTTTACCAAAGATGTCTTCATTGTTAGCTCTTTTTTTTCTTCAAGTGTTATTGACTTTTTAGAACTTACAGCATCTGGGTGTGCTCAAAACTCATGTTTGTAGTGATGGTAACTTCTGTCCTATGAACACTAGGGAACACATTGAAGTCAATTGCTAATAGTTTTTGTTTCCTGTTCTAGTTATCATTTTATATTTTTAAAGTAAAATCATAATTATTTGATCCTTTGATCATATTTTATTTTTGCTAGTATATGAGACATGCAAACTGGGAACTCACTCACCTCAGAGTTTGGGAAACCAAATGGAGATAGACTCAGGAAAATGGCCTTCTTCTGGCTTTGTCCTACTTGATTGCCCCCAATCAATGAAGATAGAAAGCAGTAACGCATCTCTCTTGGGATCAATAAGTGATTATTTTCTCTCTCTGTCAAATGGTTGGGACCTGGGTTGCTATCTCAAGTCTCTTTCTAAGAAACTTAAAGCTTTGAAAGTTGGCCAATATTTGTCCACAAACCAAAAGGAAGGAATAAGTGGCCCTTGCTTGGTAAGTAGGATGTTCCACGTATGTATTTTACTTAAGTGGTTCTCTCTCTCTTCTTGTTTGATGATGGTTGGGCCATATTCACCTTAGCACAAAGGGGAAAAGCAAATTCTGCTCTTTTTCTTCTGGTGTTTTATTATTTATCAACATGGAATGTGACAAATTCATTATTTTAGACTCGACTATTGATTTCAGTTACCTTATATCATACTTTTGTGTATTATCTATTGGTTTATAGTTTTCTACTTGTTAAGATCTTCTTTACAGTCAATATTTGTTCTACTTTGTGAAGTGCATGATTTTTGTTCCTCTTATAAATATATATATATATATATATATATATTGTTCATTCAATATTATATGCTGCAATTGGAAACATTTTCTCTAAAACTATCTGCTTTTTGTCAGCATTCCTTGTTATTTTTTTAGAGTATAAATATGGTCTGCAAACATGGTTGGTTTCTAGAATAGACCTATAGCTTGGTTGTCCTTTACCTGATGGTGCATGTATTGGGAAAGGTCCTTCTTGTTATCGATTTTTTTTTCCCTTTTATAAGCATTTTTATGGCATTGAATTATGTTGAAGTTATTTACACAGTTATTATAAGGTTGGAGGATTTAGAATACATTTTCAATTGGTGTTTGTTGATTCATAATTGAAAAGCACCAAATCTCCAAAATATGTTGGCTGCAATGATTTTATGTTTTCACCAAGTATTATAACTTTTTTTTTAATCTTGTAGGATTAGCTTGTTATGAATTTAAGGGTACAATGGAAAGTTTGACATAGAAGTTTATCTACTTCTGTTAGTGGGATTAACATAGATGCCAATGCTTTTAGAGAGGGAGTTGTATTTGTGAGGAATTGACATTATATACTATTATTATCTTAGTCTGTAATAAGTAAATTAAGATAATTTGTTTAATTAAATGTGAAATGCACCCTTAAGAATAGTTCTTTTTGTAGTGCTTGACCTTCTGTGTTTTACTTTTGCTTCGTAAACATGCTTTAGAATTGCTTAACGTGGCAAACTGGTTTGTCATTACCTATTGTGTTGGTTTCTTGTATTTAGGTAATATACGTGGTGTGTCCCTTCCCTGAGCCTACCGCAGTCCTAAAAACGGTAGTTGAATCTTCTGTTGCTGTTGGATCAATTATTCTGCCCTCAGATAGAGATATGAGATCTATACTGCACGGTCAGGTGGGGAAGGCATTAAGCAGCTCAGTAGCTGCGGATGAAACATCAATATCAAATATTCCAGTAGTTTCAGGGTTTAGTGTTCCTAAATTGGTTCTACAGATTGTGACCGTGGATACCATTTTTAGGGTTACAAGCCCACCTTTTAATGAACTTGTCATTCTTAAGGAGACAGCTTTCACTGTATACAACAAAGCCCGGCGAATTTCGCGGGGATCCATGAATGATACAGTCCTGTCATCATCATTATCTAGTAGATCTCATTCCGTCTTAAATCATATGACATCTATTCCAGGAATGTGGAAGGACTGTGTTGGTTCTCGAATCTCAGGGTCTTCTCTTCCTAGAGAGGGTGAAATTGATTCCAGCTTGAGGGGTGGTGCTTGGGAAAATTCATGGCAAACAAGGACAGGAGGATTAAGTTGTGATCCAAACAGAAATGGGGATTTCTTCTATCCAGAAGAAGTTCGCTACATGTTTGAACCACTTTTTATTCTTGCAGAGTCTGGTTCTGTGGATCATGGAGTTTCAGCTACAGCTTTTGGTAATTCAACTTCTGAAACTTCAAAGATAGTGTCAGAGGAAAGTAGTGGAGGCTTCATGCAGACTGCAAATTCAACAGGAAGTATTGATCCTGGCTCAGGCTCTCAGCTTGATGGATTAGCGCCTGATGGTCTTAGTTCTAGTAATCAAAAGACTCCAAGCTTACATTGTTGCTATGGATGGACGGAGGATTGGCGGTGGCTGGTATGCATCTGGACGGATGCAAGGGGGGAATTGCTTGACTGCAACATATTCCCTTTTGGGGGAATTAGCAGTAGACAGGACACAAAAGGTCTACAATGCCTTTTTGTACAAGTTCTGCAGCAAGGTTGTCAAATGCTTCAGACATGCACCTCTTCTGATACTGGTGTTGTCAAGCCTAGAGACTTTGTAATCACACGTGTTGGAAATTTATATGAGCTTGAATACCAAGGTATATCGGTTTGGGTCATTCTTTTACAGTTTATATTTTATTTTTCCTCTCATGGCCAGAAAGTTGCTGCTTATAACCTTGTTGCAGTTTTGGCCATCTATAACAATTACAAGCTGCCTTCTGTAGTATTATTGAATGAATAGTCTAAGTTATGCATTATTTGCTTCTGAATTGATAATTCTGCTTGTCTTTGTATATTGTTTTAAACTTGCAATTATAATCTGTTTAGCCTACTAGTCACAAGCTTTTTCAAGGAAACAGTATACTAAAGTCTACCATTTTGTTTGCTTCTGTTTACTACGGATTAATGCTGTGTTTTTTTTTTTTTTTCTTGTGCACTGTGACTATAGAGTGGCAAAAAGCCATCTATTCAGTTGGTGGATCTGAGGTGAAGAAATGGCCACTACAGTTGCGCAGATCTGTTCCTGATGGCATGCCTGCTAGCACAAATGGAACTTCATTAGAGCAGCAGGACATGGGTTTGATTCAAGAGAGAACACTTCCTTCCTCACCTAGTCCATTGTACAGCCCGCACGCAAAGGCTGGCTTTATGAAAGGTGGTTTAGGACAACCGGTCACGAGAAAGCAGCTTGTAAGTGGACAAACATTAGTTGACAACTCTAGGGGATTGCTTCAGTGGGTGCAGAGTATCAGTTTTGTTTCAGTTTCAGTTGACCATTCTTTACATCTAGTGTTCCAAGCAGATTCACTGTCTCCTGGTGAGCTATTAGTCTCTCTTTTGATTAATTTTCTTTTTCATAATATAAATGATGCTTTAACTGTTTTTATTTCCATTTAACATATGGCACTCTAGTTGAAAAATTGGATGCTTGGAACAACATGACTACATTGGGTTGTTTGGTTAATTATAATGGGGTTTCCTGTCCTACTGTCAAATGTTTGCCATAGTCTCTCCCAAATAATTTCTTCATTCAAGTCCTCTTATTGTTATGTAACTTGCAATCAAGAAATTGGTATCTTTGTTAATACTAAATAACTGAGTGTGCTGATGTGGTGCTGAAGTGTCAAATTTTAATTATGAAAAACATGATGTGGAGTCTTAGGTACCATTTGTTTCACATAAAATTATTTTTAAAAAATGTTTTCTAGAAAATATATTTTCTGAAAAATTTGAGAGTTTATGTTATTTGGATGAGTTAATAAAAAATATTTTTTATTATTTGGATGTTTTTTGAAAAATTTATTTCTTGTGGTATAATATTAATATAATTATTAAATATTATTTATTATTAAAGTAGATTGAAATTATTTATTATTAAAATTATTATTATTCAAGAATAATTATATTTTAATAATATTTAATATTAAAATATTATATTAATATAAAAAATATTTAAAATAAAATTATTTATATTTCTTTATATTAATATTTTAAAATATTTAAAATAGCATTACTATTCTTAAAATATTATTTTTGTTAATATTAAAATATTTATATTTTATATTGAAGTATTTATTATTAAATTATAACAAAAAAATTTTTATTTATATTTTATTATTAATATAGTAATATAAATATCTTAATAAATAAAATATCAAATTATATCTTTTAAACTAAAAAAAAGAAATTATTAAAAATATTCATGTTATTATTATATTATTTAACATTGATTATTAAAAATAAAATAAAAATAATATTATATATTTTATTATTTATTGATAAAATAATAATATTATACTATTTATTATTGAATATTAAAAGGATTTATGTTTAATAATATACAAAATAAAAAATTTTAAATTGAAATATTAAAAGACTTTTAATGTTAATATTTTATTTTTTAATTAAAATTAAATAAAATATTTTTATTAGTATAATAATATTTCAAGTCGAATCAAATCAAGTTCAAGTTTAAAATATTATATTCAAAATCTTACTTAAGTAGAACTATAAAATATTTAAAATTAAAATATTAAAAAATTATAATATTAATATTTATTTTTTAAGTAAAGTAAAATAAAAATATTATTTATTAATATAATAATATTTTGGGTTGGATCAAATTAAGTTTGATTTTAAAAAAAATCATGTACAAAGTCCAATTTAAGTAAAATTATACTTAAATACATTGATAAGTAATTGTCTTCATAAATAGCTTTTTTCGGCAAATTGTCTTTCTCTTTTGAAAAGAGGGAGACAAGTTCTAGAAAAATTATCGCATTTTTCATAGATCAGTTGGTTTTCTGCAAAGCAAACACCTAAAAATGCAAAAATCATTTTTCGAAAATTATTTTTTGAGAAACAAGAGGAGCTTTATTTGGCAAATTGGCTGAATGCAAGAGCTTGCAGGATTTTACCCACCCCTTTGTTGGCAACACCTACTTCTAGGCAAACTAATGAAAAAAAAAAAAAAAAAAAAAGGAACGGGCTGGGAAGAGTGCTGACAGAGAGGCAGAAAGAGGAAAACAATGTCCAAGAGGAGAGAAATCACGAGAGTGAAGTGGTCAAGGGGAGATGGAAGGTTGCCATCTGATCCTACATTTTCAATATTGCATAACTAGATTGGCACCTACTAGATCTAATCCTAGTTCAACAAATTTTCTGGAGAATAATTGCGAAATCTGGAGTCGATTTCATTGGATACCACCTTTTACAGAGATGGATCCAGATCTGGCACTATGAATACTTATAGGCTGGAGCCATGTCTTGCTGATTGCTGGTTCTAAATTTGGCTACAGGAGTTGACTAGACTGGTATTGGATTTTGTCTCCATCTTTTACTAAGGGTATGATTTGACTCTTTATTGAAGGGTGCAAGATCTTGTCATAGTTGACACTTAAATAAGTAACAAGTGCCATTCTGATCAAACATGACTAAGGCTTCGTTTGTTTTCTAGAAAACTTCTAGAAAATAAAACATTTTCATTGAAGGTATTTTCCAAAAAAAGTCATTTTCATTGTTTAAATGGTTTTATAGAAAATCATTTTCATTCTTCCTCTCTCTTCCTTTTCCTTTCATCTCCGTGTTTAAACCTCTTTCCAACTCGAAAGACCAACAAACTCCAAATCCTCTATAGCCAAGTTTGTCATCTTCATAACAATTTTTTCCATTTTCCATTATCCTCTACATTTCATCATGATCTTAACCCAAATCAAGCAAAATTCTTCAAAATACATGAAACCCATTTAAAATCCATAGAAACCTGTAAAAATAAACATTGAAAGATCAAATAGCAATATTTGAACAAAAAAGGATTTTGCCGTTTTGTTTTGTTCTTGGGCTCAATTGGAAGTGTTTTCCAGAGGTTGGCTTGTTCCTTTTTTGGTGGTGTGTTGTAGTTAGCCTTGGGATAAGGAGGGTAGCTTTTAACAAGATTAGCTTGGAGATTGAATCTTGAAAAGGGAGATCTAGGAGGAGGGAGAGATCTTTCAAGTGAGAGAGAAGCTTCAGGAGGAGAAGGTTTTATGATGCTTCTGAGCTTTCTACATAGCCGTGAAGAAAAACGTACTGGTGGAGGTTGGACTTCAAAGTGGAAGGAGTTTTGGTGGCTGTTTATTTTTGAAGAAAAGGAAGAAAAGGAGAGTCGGGGAGAGATAGAGACTGTGGAGTAGTTGAAGGAAGTCAGGGTTTGGACGATTAGCCAGTTGCTTCTGTGGTGGTCGCCAGTCACTTCAATGGTTGTGACCGGAGTTGGATTGTGGTTCAACTGGTTTGTGAGGATTTGTAGGTTGTTTTGTTGTCACCTATTTGTTATGGCCTTATGAGTGAGTTTAGGAAATTGTCTTCCGGATCTTATAAGGGAAAGGCAATTTCCCCATATTTGGGTGTTTCTTCCATTGACAAGGAATTCATTTTCAGTCTGACCAAAATTTTCCTTGACATCCAAACACGAGAAAATTCACAAAATGACTTACACAAGCCATTTTCCTCGTTATCAAATGGAGCCTAAATCTCTGCTCACAATGCCGGTTTGTTCTGACCTGGTGAAATAATTCTTACTGGTCATGACACCAGAGTGAATTCAAGGGAGGAAAATCTTTTCTTTGTGGCTCTATTAAATTAATATCTGTGACTTTTTATGGATGTACTTCATTAAATAGAGATGACGAAGTAAAAGAAAGTTGCATTCAGTTATACTCAATAGTACTTCATTAGGAGAAAGAGCTGAAAAAATAAGGCAAAATGACAATGATCTATGATTTTCTTTTAAAATTTATAAATTAATGTGATGCCAAGGTTAAAGAAATTTGGATTTGAACCAATCCAACCACCACATTCATAAAGGTCCACATCATATTTTTTAAAACTTAGAAACTTACTCTAGGTGCACTGCCACTGTCAGCACAATTAATAGTTTAGTGCTCACAGAATTCTTTCTTGACGGACTATTCATAATACTTCAAATTGACTGAAATTAAAGTGAACATTTTCCCTTGATCCCCATAAAGTTTGACTCTTTGGTTTTGCCTTTTTGTGTCTTGGCTATATCTCCCATAACAGTGCTTGGATTTCTGAATTTTTCATCGAGCTGTATGCATTTCAATTTTATCATGCACGGCTAATGCTTATTTTTCATCCCTTTTGACTTTTAGCTGATCCTGGATATTAAATCCTTAATGAGTCTGTTATTCTTTTATGTTGGATGATAAATAAATTGCATCAAATAGACAAGCCTTCCCAGATCAGCCCTCCCATGAGCTTCAACTATCATATCCCTACTGGCTGTTTTGAGGGATGGAGTAATTAAAGTGGTAGTGGTCTAACGTCTTATAACAGTGTGTGCCACCTAAGTTCCAAAGACTATAGCAAACCTGGAACTGAGCATCAAGTCCTTTCTTTTGTTTCATGTTCACATTTAAGAAAAGTGAAAATGAGATTTATATGTATTATTTGTTATATTTCCTATTACTTAGACCCTTTCATTGTGTACCAGGAACTCAGGGTGGTAGTGTTATGGGTCAATCAGGATACCTAGAAGGGTTCACTCCTGTAAAATCTCTTGGTTCAACATCTGCTTCTTACATGTTAATCCCATCTCCCAGCATGCGCTTCCTACCTCCATCACCTCTTCAGCTTCCAACATGTCTCACTGCTGAATCACCACCACTTGCTCATCTTCTTCACAGCAAGGGCTCTGCAATCCCCCTTTCTACTGGGTTTGTGGTCTCAAAGGCTGTACCTACTATGAGGAAAGACTATAGAAATTACACAAAAGAGGAATGGCCTTCGGTTCTTTCCGTCAGTCTCATTGATTATTATGGAGTTCATAAGGTTACCCAAGATACTAAAGTAATCAGAGAAATTGCAAAGCAGGCAGGAAGGACGCTCAGCTCTGAAGCTAGAGATTTTGAAATTGATAGCCATTTGATTTTGGAGTCTGTTGCAGCAGAGCTTCATGCTCTGTCATGGATGACAGTCAGTCCAGGATACTTAGATAGGCGAACTGCACTGCCATTTCACTGTGATATGGTTTTGAGACTGAGAAGATTGCTTCATTTTGCTGAAAAAGAGCTCTCTCGAGTGCCAGATAAGTCCCTAGTTTAAGAAGTTCCATGATTTATGGAATACTGGGTTTATGTCCATAAGTCACTGTAAAATAGATTGTGTCATGTTATATGCATGTGTGATTGCAGCTCAAAAGTTTGTATCTATAAAAAGAAATAAAGTAGTTAGATCTATTGATTCTGGTAGTGGCTGCCCATTAGAGATGTGGTAGTAAAATCTGGTAGTAAACTAACTTAGAACTGCTGTTACTGTTATACATTCTAATAGGTAATGTTGCAAGATCTTAAAAGCTGTGCAACATTTTAGTCCCTTGTAGGAGAGATTTTGGTGTCTCAATGTTCAATTTTGTCTTTCATTTCACTAAGTTACACTTTTGCTGTTACCTTAACAATTCCCACCTTCATTTCTCGTCAAAACTATCCATGAAGTGATTCTATTGTCGGCTTAATGTAGGGATTTTTTTTTGAAATTTTGTCTCTTGAATTTTTATTTTTAAGGTTTTTCCAATTCATATTTTCTGTTAGGGGTATAATTGAGTTGAATTAGGACTTGGAACTCGGCTAAGTTAAGAAACTCGATGCTCAAGCATGACTATACTAGATTCAATCTTAGAAAGATCAGAAATATTCTATCTGAACTCAAAAACACAAAGTCCAGCAGGAAGGTTGGCTTTGGCATGCATACCACCCTTCATGCAGGATATTAGACAAGCACCAGAAGAACATAGTAGGGATCAAAACAGTTGGACACCATCTTCGAGTTGGGTTTATTTTTTGTTCCGATTGGATTCCAATAATTTTGGATTCATATCATTTCAAATACAAGTTATTTCAAATTTGAATTATTATGGATTCAGTTTGAGTTGAGCAGACCTAAACGAGTTTGAATAATTGTGAAATTTTATAAGTTTTATAGATATTTTTATACTTTTTAATGTAATAATTAATTTCTTAATCTACCTCTAATCTCTTTTCCTTTTTATTTATTTAACTAAAAAGGATATTATGCAATATGAATGAATTCCTTTGAACCCACAACTTCTAAACGTCAGCAAAAATTTCATGCCGACTGATCTAAGCATCAATCTACATTAATTTTGTTAATGGTACATTATTAATATAAAGTTTTTGGCTAAACACATTATTAATATAATTATTTAATAATTATCAATATTAACATTTTTAAAATTTAAAACTTTTAGTTAAGAAAAATATTTATAATTTATTTATTTATGTATATTTTAAAAAATAAAATCATAGACTTATTGTATGAATTTTTTTTAGATTATAATTTGATTTTTATGGATTTTAGATAGAATCATTCTTGGATTCATATCATTATCGATTTGGGTCATGATGCATTTAATTTGTTTTAGTTTTCGATTTTTTTTTTAGTTCGGATTCTTTCATATTAGATTTTTTAAAATTTTGGTCTTTGACTTTTTTTTTTTTTTTTTTGTGTCAAGTCAGATAATAGGAATTCAATCTTCTTGAACTCGGACAGAGAGAGAACGGCTAAACGGTGTAAAAAGTCTTTAAATTATAATTAAAAATATCTAAATTTTTTATTACAATTAATCAACCTATCTAATATCAACATTATAAATGTAAGAACTGAATTCAAGAAAAATAAAATTTTACAAAATACGCGAGTCTATCATTTGAATACAAGAATGCGTGAAGCATTTATTTTGTTTATTATTATTATTATTATTATTATTTTTGGTAAGTCTACCCAATTGCTTTGCTCCGTGTGGACAAAACCAAAATTGCGACAGAAAGTGCGCGTGAAAGATGTAAAAGGGTAGCACAGAAAAGATGAGTCAAAAAAAAAAAAACAAAGAAAGAGCATTATATGAGTTGATTAATGGTGTGCGTTCACACTAGAAATTCTGACCAATTTACCAATGGCAATGATCAAAGACCAACCCAGTTCTTTTTTTTAACAAGAAAAAAAAAACACCGACCCGGATAAGTAAGGAAAAAAAAATGTAAAACAGTCTGTTCCAATGAAATCAGTCCATAAATTAAAAATGTACTACTTACGAATACTAGTTTTAGGCATTGGTAAAAGGAATAAACAATTTCATTCAGACACTACGCAGTTTCTTTCTTCTTAATTTGTTGATCGCTGTTTAAAGTATGAATCTAATTCACACGTGGAGTAGCTTGGTTGCCGTATTAGGTTTTCCTGTAGCAAAGAAAGAGAGATTTTTGGAGTACAAGTAGATAGAAAATGGGACGCTTTATGATAAGTTACATCCAGCAGCAGCTGAGGTAAGGAACATGGACTTAGCAGCTCGAGGTTTGGCATGGCTTCATCATAACTGCAATCCCCGAATAATTCTTCATTTATACAAACATTAGCTCTAAGTACATGGATGGGGATTTTGAGCCCAAATTATCTGATTTTGGTCTTGCAAGCCTATTGACACGCACTTGATCAGTACTTTTGGGAATGTGGAGTTTAGATGTTGCTCCTGAATATGCCACAACTCTAATAGCCACCCCGCAAGCAGATATTTGCAACTTTGGAATTACTGGTGAGAAACCAATCCTTGTGGCCAGAAAGCTTCAGTGGAAGTTTAGTGGAGTGCATCACACAGCTTTCGAGCACTTCTCTTCTTCAAACTGCCATTGATAAATCTTTGTTGGGAAATGGTTTTGATATTGATTTGATGCAATTTCTTAGAGTTGCTTGTAACCGCGTCTTGCCAACTCCCAAGGAGAGACCAACCACGTTTGAATTCTATCAGCATCTGAGAGCCATTGGGGAAATATATCATTTCACGACTGAGGATGAGATTATGCTACCCTTTAGCAGTACGAACCTAAATCACAAGTGTTCGGACAATCATAAAAAGTAAGTTCAAGTATTATGAAGAATCTTCATAGGAATTGAATTTGTGATTAACCTAGAGCTAAATACCGAAACTAATAGCTAAGCCATATCTAGTTTTGATGAGAATGGGATTTTACTGTAAAACTAAAATTTAATAACTTAAACTCTAAAAATTACCAAGTGAATTAAAATTTAATTACTACCAATTATGAATGTTACTATAAAAGGAAAACTCGTATAACCTAAGGGCAAGGCTTCTAAATTAACATCTAATATAGAGCAAGAATGTTAATTGCAACAAATTAAAAGGTAAGAAAACATGAATTATTAATGCATGAAAAAACTAAATTTCAATTAAAACCTAAATGACATAAAAAAAAAAAAGTATGCCTGGGCATGAATGGTATGAAATATGCATAGAAATAAACCTAAAAGAGAACTTACAAGCTTTCGGCCTACTCTAGGTAACATAATAAAAATACACGGTAATTTAACATGCTAAATGGAAATATAAGGACTGAATGATCATAATGGAAGAAATTAAACTTAACTAAAAATTTGAACTACCTAAATGTTGCTTAATTTCAAAACAGGAATTAAAACAAGCATGGAAATCACCTGAAGTTAAATTTAATCTACCATGAACCTAAGCTAGCCTGGAAAGGAATGGAGCATAAACAACAAAAAGATAAAGGCATCTTCACATGGAATAAGAAGGGAAATTAAAGGAACATGAAACTAAAAGAGCATTAAAGTAAATAACATCAATCACAAGTAAATTAAACTTAAAATGGCAAGCACAATAGACAAGTAGCAAGCTGAAACAGAAACCGAAATTGGTAGCAATTGAACTTTAAAATAAATTAAACAAAATTAATTTCAAAATTGTTGATTCATGTATAAGGAGATTCATAGGAAATTTCTCTACCTAATAGCTACCTTATACCATCCTTATCAAGCCTCAACAGCCATGCAAAACGGCTCAACAATTGCCAGAAAAGAAGCTGGGCAGATTGTAAAAACCATGTAGAAGGAAGGGATTTTTGCACGGGAAAACAAAGTTTAAAGCTTGAAGACTTAAACAAGGACTTTAGCTACAAAGTTAAAGATCAAAGGAATGAAATGGCTTTTAGAAACTTAATAAAAGTAGGCTCAAAATGCATGAAAACCATAAACAATAGTTGTGAAATTAAAACTGGAAACAAGCAAGAAACACGAACTTTGCATAAAATAAACACAAATTTAAATTCTGAAAATTTACAAGGAAATTGAACAACAATAAAAGTATTAAAAGGAATAAAAATGGCATTTAAAAAGTAAAAAAATGCAAGGTAAATGTACTCTTAAAGCCTCAAGACCGAACAGCTAAGGGGCTGCCAGCCTTGGGCACTAAAATGAAGAGAAAACCCTTAAGTATAAAGGCAGCTGGGGCTCCACTTTTTCGGCCGCAAAATGTGCTATATATAGCCAACTTCTAAGTCTTCAAATGGCCTATCAAGTAGTGGCAAAAAGCCAGGTGCTCCATCATCTTTCAGCTCAAATGGAGGACTTCTCTGCTTGCAAAAACAGTGATCTGCATGGATGGAATGTTCTTGTTTCCAACATCATGACAAGTGACCAATGGGAGGTGGCCAACTAGGGGACAAATCAGCTTCTTCATCTGCCCTTCATGGAGGAGAGACAAGCTGTCCAAATGGACCAATCAAAGGCTGGCAGCACTTCCCTTCCAGCTGAGACAAATTCGGCTCTATGGGGTGGAGGCAGCTTGTTGTGTCTTGATTGGCAGCCCATGTGATGTCTCCTACATGGACCAATCTTCTTCATCCTTTATGCCAACTTATCAAGCAGCAGAGCATTCCAATTGCAGCCCAAGAATTCAGCAAAAACCGTGATATGCGGCAGGTAATGTAGTGGCTGCTGCTGTCACCTTGTGGTCCCACTTTATCTTCTAGTGAAAATGGTTCCCTCTCTCGTGTCATGCACTTCAAGCAAGCGTGGCCAGCTGGCCTTTGCCCTCATGCAACAAATTGGGGACCAAGGTGCGGCAGCAGCTCTCTTCTTATGCAGCCGACATCCAAGTCAGCAATGCAGCCTCTTCAACCATTGATACAACATGCACACTTGTGGAATTGCAATTCCTCATCTCATGGTACCTAAAAACTAAATTTAATACAAATTTACCCTTGATAAAAACCACGGAATAACATCAGTCCTCACTGATAGTGAGGAGACAACACTAAGAATAACAAAACACCAAGAGAAAAGGAAGAGAATAAACCTTGGTGGATAGTGTTGGGTACAGCTAGGAAACATGGAAGGAGGAAGAAAAAAGGTAGAAGGAGGATCATCGACTGTCGAAATGGAATGGCTTGCAACAGGCAACGGAAGTTTCGATTTTTCAAATTAGATTTAGGTTTTTCAAATTAGTAGTGCAACACATTAAAGGGTTGTTTAGCCAAAAAGCAAGTAGAGAGATGCAAATCGATAATGTAATCACATATCCAGAAATTGTGTATGAAAGGCTAGATGGTAATTAAGTAGTTACCATATACCTGGTAATGTAACCATGCATTCATTTCAGTGACTAGAATAGAGTATGGCTCAAATTTTAGGCCCATGGGTGCTATTTACTAAAAAAACCAACTTAGAAAATCAAGGAGGTTGGAAGAAACAAAAGTTTGGATTTTGGGATGAAATCGACGTCGGTCAAGGGCAACAGAGACGATGGTTGTCGACGTCGATGGAAACTGGTGAGATTGTAGGGAGAGCCTCCGGTCTTTTGAGAGATGAAAAAAATGAGAAAGATGAGAGAGAAGAAAAAGAAAAGAAGGGAATGAAAATGAAAAAAAGAAAACTTTCGAAATTTTTTTATTTATTCTTATTAATTTATTTTTAGGATAATTTTTTATTTTTAACAATTAACTTTTATTAATTAATTATGATTAATTTTGTTTTATTGACTAATTATTATTAATATAAATTTTTATTAAGTAATAATAAATAATGAGAGAGAAATGGGTTAATTAATAATTATTTGTTATTAATTAAT